TCATCTCCTACCGGCTGGGGTACAGGCGTAATTCTGGAGGCGAAGGACTTTTTCACCGTCGGTCCTGACCGTCGCGAGCTTCATTGCATTACCATGGACCAGTTCGCCGTCGAGATCCTCGAGGGCGGTCGCGGTTTCAACAAAGCGCTGGTCTCCGTCAAGGACTTCGTTTGGGTATATAACGTGAAACCTACTCGTCAGGCCCTTGCGCTCGCCCCAGACCACACTGACGCAGGCGCGCACTACGGCTCTAGAGTCAACGCTGGCTTTCTTTTTTCGGGTATCCCACCTTGCATTGGTACCCCCAGGGACCATCGCACTCCCGTCTACGGCATCATCCTGTCGCTTCACTCCCGGTACGAAAGGAGTAATGTTGGCCCGTGCAGCCTTCGAGGGATGCCCAGAACCAGTCACCACTCTTAGCATCTGTGATTTCCACCTCCGGTGTACAAAATTGCCTCTGCTAAAGCGCAAGTGAATCTTTCATCTGCAATGCACTTTTCTGAACCGCCGGCCTCCGTCGAAGCGGGAGTGCAGCTGCAAACATCGTCCGTCAGTTTGTGCCTATGCATCCGGAAGAAGGTATGCTACCCCTTGCGGTTTTTAAGATCACCGCACCAGACGCGGCGTGGTGCGGATCGTCTAGGACCCGTCGACAGCTATCATACCGACCTTGGCTCCAAAACCAAAATTGGCGAAGATCTGCAAAGCGGCATGCTCAGCTCTGTCGATTCGGTTGACGATGACCGACGTTCTCACTGGGCCAGGGAGACATTCCCAAAATGGTTTCCCTTGCGGCTTCAGTTCACCCTCACGGACATGTCCTCTGAAGCAGGATGGACTCCAGGCTGTCACGTGTGCTCAACTCTTATGGATCGACGGTTCGGAGAGCCTTATCCGCGTTAAGGTCGATCGCGTGGACACCCATCCCACCCAACACACGCTGCACGTCGAGGGGCCCAAGTGATGAACGGTATCTCAGAGATCTTCCTCCCCCGTCTGACATGGACAGATCCTTCCGGGTCAGTGGCCGTAGAATTACCCTGACCCGGGACCAAAAAGACGCCGTCCGCGTCGGTACGGGTGACCTTCCCATAGTCGCCCTTCAGGCTGCTTTCGGCACGGGTAAGACGCTGGTCGGGTCGCTGATTGCAGCCCTAACGGCAGCGAAGCCGGGCAGTACCGTCATCGTAACAACCTCCACGAACGCGGCCGTGGCGCAATTTGTGGAGACGCTCTCTTCGGTCGTCGTCGTCATCTATCCTCCGGTCTCTCGCTCTCATTCTCACGTCTCTACTCTCTCTCTCTCTCTCTCTCTCTCTCTCTCTCTCCCTCTCTCTCTCTCTCTGGAACAATTTTCCGCGTCTCAAAGTAGTGCGAGACATTTCGGACACTGCCGCGGCGGACAACCGTAGCCCAACTGCGGTGGACCTCAACAAGATCCTAAGACGCTTGGAGAAGACTTCGCGGAACCGGCTGGACGAAGGTGAGCGTCGGGTTTGCGCTAAGTTCAAGCGCTACAGACAGCTGCTTAGAGGACTACATCGAGGACCCCGACCGCGTACCGGCTATGTCGGATCGAGACAATGAAGAGAACTATCGCGGAGCAGTATGTCTCGCAAACGTTGAAGCGCATAGGATCACGTACACGGTTCGGCGACCATTGGTCGTTTGACCACGTCTTCTCTCCTCAACTCCACCAGCGGCGTAGGAATCTTCGGTCCTTATATCGACCAATTTCGAGTGGTGATCGGCGATGAGGCGTCGCAGATACCAGAGCCGGTGCTCCTCACCACGTGACGCGCGTCACGTCTACATGGGAGACGTGCACCAATTGGCCCTGCACACCAAGTGCCCACACGGCTCCAATCCCGCGCTTGCATGGGCTCGTAGCGTCATGAGCCTTCTTCTGGTGTCCCCAGTCCCCGTGGCACCCCTGGTGACCACCTTCCGCTCGCACCCCGCCCTTATCCAACTGCCAAATCGCGTGGCCTACGACGGGGCGCTTGTAAGCGGCACACCGGCAGCATCCCGGCAGATGCATGGGACTAGTAGCGCTATGCACCCGGCAGATGCTGCTGGCAGTGATGAATTTTCCCACCAGGGGGGGGGGTCCCTTTTCATTTTCATCGATACCATAAGGGACTCTATGCAGGCTCCCAGCAAGTCACATTTCAACACGACCTAAAGCCCGCCTTTGCACATACTTCATAAGGCAGCTATTATTCAAAGGAATCCCTGCTGCCTCCTTTTGTGTAATCTCTTTTTACAGGGAACAATATCGACAAATGAAGGACGAGCTGAACACTCTGAATGTGGAGCTGACAACAGTGGATTCCGTCCAGGGCCGAGAGAAAGAGGTTGTTATAATCCTACCACTAGAACAGGATTCCCTTCAGATACGGCAGATTTCCTGGACGATTACCGCCGACTGAACGTGGCGGTCTCCCGGTGTCGGCACGGCCAATTCATCTTTGGCCACGCCGACTCCCTTCGGCGCATCCCGACATGGAGCAGAGTTTTGGAATGGGCCGACTCGCTGAACGCCGTGGTCCCCTTCAAGGATGTCAACCGTTACTTAAATCCCCCTCGCTAGACCTGTTCCGGTAAGTCCGTTCCTTTTCTCTATATTGAAAAGTCCGGGTCGGACTTTCGGTAAAGGGGGAGGTGTAAGCCGCGCCTCATGGCGGCGGCGAGTAAGGGTGACGAAGCCGTGACTCATCTGAATGTTTTCAGGAGGCGTGATGAAGCGGCGGAAGAGGCAAGCGAGGAGTCGACTGGAGAATGGACCGAAGAGCCGGCACGGTCCTCTACTCAGGGCGAGGCCCTGCTCCCTTCCATGGCAGTTCAACGTAGCTCTACTCTTGTGCTCGTCACCGTCTATTCTCTTACCTGTGCTCGTTTATGCCCTTTTCGCGTTGTATCGTTGTATCGTCAGAAGATGCAGTTTCTCACCTTTTATTGAAGTTGTCTTGTAATTTGTTTGCTCATATCATTACGAATTCCGGGTTTAATTGTTTCGTTGATGTATTGCAGATAAAAGTAGTACTTTCTATGGTTTACGGTGGACGTTGAACGCACCTTTACTGCGCGGCGCTAGCTCACTACACAACAACAAGGTGCCTACCAATCACAATTATCGGTGTTTTCCGCAGACATGTCGTCAGCAACGTTATGGGAAGATTTGGTACCGGTCCTGTCTGTTGTGTGCTCGACTCTACAAGGTACGCTCTTGTGATTCCCTCTTATGATTTGTTGTACTGGCATTTGTGTACTACTGGCGTAGTGACGCCAGCAATGAGTGTTCCACCGCAGAATGGTCTGCACTTCCTAAGACATTAGTTCTGAAAGTTGGATTCTGGGAACCATCAGTCGGTGTTGATGGAACTCAAATTAGAATCCCAAGTTCATGGCCAGCCAGGAATTCCGTGGTTTCGTCAACAGTTGTAGCCGTACCCTACGCACTACTTCACCTTGAGCTGGGGGGGGGCAACACCAAGGCCTTATGCCATACTTCCCCTCGAGGCAGGGGTTCGCCCTCCCCGTATGCTGCGCTTCCCCCGACGGCTGTGGGGAGAGTTCACGTCCAAGAACTCAGGGGGAGAGATTCCATAACAGCAAGTGTTGGGGAAAACATCCCCTGGTGCACCTTTTTTTTAAGTTTATTTCGTCTTTGTTCTGAACTTTCCTATCTTTTTTTTATGTTAGAGTCGTTTGTGACGACGTTGGGGAACCCCTCTCACGGTTCCGGGACAGACCGGTGCAGGGTGAAGCACTCATTGAGGAATCCTCAACGAGGCGGTCGTATCTGACTAGCTGGGAAGGCAGGTCCATTTTTCATAGAAACCACCTTGTGCATGGCAACCTACACGCAAAATTCACTTCCCTCGTCATCGGGAAGAATCCTCTACGGCGTATTTTTTCAAACAATGGGACTCTTTTTGAGAGAATTTTCTTCTTTTGCATCACGGTTTTATTTTGTCCTGGATCCCTCACTACCCAAGTTATGGCCCGGAAAGGGTGTAAAACTCGCGCTCTCAGGAATTTTCATCATTAAATCCGAATCAATGAATTTTTTTTCAAATGTTACTCTTTTGAAGGATTCTGATGTCGTTAGAGAGAGGATGTGTTCTCCTTCTGCACAGCAGTTTTTTTTTGTCTTGCACCCTGTACCACGAAACTTATGGTTCCTATAAGGTTGAAAATCCGCGCTCTGTAGAAATTTTCATCGTTATTTTTGGGGCGAAGTCGCACCTCCTTTACCGTATCTGTCGGGAGTCACGAGTAATCGCGACTCTCGTACTGAACAATCGTTTTGTGCGAGGGTCTCTCTCGGTAACCGTTGCACACAACTCTTCTTTCCTCCTAATAAACATATTCACTTAACCACTGTTTGTTTCATAAAATCAAACGGGTCAACTGCCCAACTTGGAAGAATCCCTCCAGTATCAAAATGATAAGATGCAATCATAATCCCTGCGAACGATAGGGCGTGTGAGGGGGTATGGCTTGGAGCACACCAGCTCAGGTTTCCCATCAGCTGTATCAACTTAGGATGGAATCATTCTTGGAAAAAGGCGCCCTGGCTGTGCTGCAGCTCGCGCCGCGTCAATGCCCTATCGTTTGCGGGGATCGCCACTGTACTTTTGTCACAGGGAAGCCCTTTTACTTCATGGCGGGATAGCCCACCTGTAATCTGAATTTTTTGAGGAATGTGCACAATTTTTTTGCTCAAAGATGGTACCATCAGTTCCCTTGTACAATGAATAGCCTCGTTTTCCTCTACCTCCTGTTTCCTGCTTACTTACAACGACAGTTTCCAATAAAATTGCTTTAATTCCCGAAGTAATAACAGTAACAAATTTTGGTCAAAATCAAAGAATAGCACAGTCAAAAAGAGACCCTGAACCTAGTAAACAATATGTCAGCATATCGAAATCAAAGTAGACAATGAGAAGAGGCGTTAACAATTTGAGCAATTTACAAAACACATTGCTGTATCAATTGGCACCGTAAGTTCGAGGGTACCAAACGCTGTCCCGATTCCAGCATTCCTCCAGATCGTCGATCGCTTCTGCATCATAACGGTCCACGAACGACTGGATTACTCCCGTTGCAGTCGCATCATACGATATCAGGTTCACGTCTCCTAAATTTCAACGAAATCACACTCCAGCATGGTGCGCCACAAATATTATACCAAATTGTGGAAATGGTAAGCTAAGCCGCAGTAAGACTAGGTCTGTTTTTATCATGAGCAAGCGCAAAATCATCTGACTCGACAAGCGAATCTCTGGCTACTTTTTTGGCTGCATTTCTATTATCAAAATGAGCATCCAAGCTACAGGCAGGTAACTGGAAAAAAGACTCGATCTGTCTCTACCGCAGAAAATTCTTATCCCGCGCGGTCCATTATCCCAAAACTAAGCCTAAAAATTGCGTGATAGGAAGCTACTTAAATGGGCACACTTTGTTGTAAGGATTCGCGGTAAAGGGATAAGTGGATGACAGGCTTGACTAACGCACACATCGTGGAAATCGCTGCTTTAGCACCATCAAGCACTCGTAAGGTCATTGCGTTTCGAGTGCCTGAGGCATATTTGTCACCCTTTCTAAAACTATTCAATGAAAAGATGTACTTATTTACCCTTATCGTCTATCTCCGTATTAGCCTGCACAAATATTCGTCGTGGCTTACGCCGAGCAATACAGATGTCACGCCAACGAACTTCCCGGTCCGTTACTTTACCGTAGCTTTCAAACAGTTCCCTACCACCTTCGAGATCTCCGGTAGATTTATAAGCCTGAAAAAAAACTTGCAACAGTTATGCAGGGATGCTGAGTTTTCGCATGTCACAATCTCCCAGTGAACAAAACTTCAAAATTTCTGTGATTTCTAAATGAAAGACAGAAAGGCAAATTAAACGATATCCTGGTCAGGAGTGACGCCCCCTATTGAAGAATCTCAAGAAATCACAAAAAGCTCAGTTAACGAAGGTTCCTTTCTCACTTAATTGTAACGGATGTCAAGAAGAACGTCAAGAATCAGATGCCCGGATGTGGTCTGGCTGCTTGACGTATCAAATACATTGCTATCAGATATTCCACCTTATCGCGTCACTTTCGTCATGCAAATCTCTATCACTCATCATCTTATCCAAATTAGTCGTAAGCATCCATTGCCGACGTCACAAAATCTTGACCAGCTTCAAGGCAAACTTTTGCCGTGTCGACAATCCTGTAGGAAATGGAGTCGACCTAGGAGGAAGGCAGAGCTTCTAAACTTCACTAACAGAGTCGTTATCACGCGATCTTTCGCCACTACAATGCCACATATTGCTTCCACCTGTATATCAACACCTTTACCGTTTTTGTATGGTAAACCAGGTTATCGTGTAATGTGTCCTTGAGTTTCTCACGGTTCGATTTTGAAGTCACACACATAGAGGGTAATGAACGCATAACTTAAGGCTGAATCACTGTTTGAATTTCTTTCTCACCTGAAGTTTGGCCAGAAAAGCGGTAACTGCCGGGCGACCAACTGAATCTATCTTGGTCCGATCAAGCTTGAACTTGAGATCTGGTTTGCCGTCCTCGCCAACACATTCTGTGATCGTCACAAAATCTTGACCTGCTTCAAGGCAAACTTTTGTCAGCACGAAGCGAGCATAACAGTGAGCCTAAAGAGATGATATAATGCATCCTTGAGTTTGTTTTAAATCCAGATTACAACGAAGTTTTGACGGTTTAAAAACGCTTCAGCACAAAGTTGGTCTGTCGTGAAATTCAAATAGTCGAAATTCGACACTGGTTGGGTTCATCATTGTTTTTAAATTAATACATTGCAGTTACCTCACCTGACCCCACTTTTGCGCTTCTGTAGAATAAAACTCGAGAGCAAGCAATCCAGCACGAATCTCATTCAACCAATTCACATATTTGACCAATTCTGCCTTTTCACCCGTATAACCGAATATCCTATAAAAATTCACAAATACCAACAAGCCAAATCTTGGTGAGCAATGCTGAACAAACAAAAGCAAACAAGAGTAAGTGAAGGCTGAGCGATGACTGGTTCCCCATTACAGCGACAGAGGAAATCGCGCTCGTGGCCGGATGGTCTAGGGGTATGATTCTCGCTTCGGGTGCGAGAGGTCCCGGGTTCGAATCCCGGTTCGGCCCAAATTTTTGCTTTGCTGCCACTAGTTTGTAAAGATTAGATCTATACAAAAGAAACCTCTAAAACGAAGGCTTACCACAGAAATGCAATTTTTTTCTACCATTACACAACGCCAGAGTGAGAGTACGTTCACTCACTCTAAAATATCAGCGTCACAGGAAAGTACATAACCCACAGCCTCAGCTCGACATTCTTCATAGGCACCGGAAAGCACTCCAAATTTAGAGGACCATGTCTCACCCGGCTCATACCATTTTGCAATCTAGAAATCAAAAACCGATCAATAAGCCATCAAATTTTCAACGCCATCAATTCCAGTCCATGTAATCAGAACAATAGCAATTACATATGGTACTTTCGTGATTACTTAACATTTAGAAATATTACAGCAATTTAGAAAGATATGTCATAGTTTCTAAAAAGACATCGGCACACTAACCGGTTTGCCAGTAATCAAATCTTTAGTGTCTTTATCGAAATTGAACGTTCCATCTGCATTCCTCTGGAAGAGTTTCCCGCTACCATGACCGAGCAATTCGTGCAATCCAACTTGAACTTCGAACGAATCTTTGTGATACTCGTGCATCAAGTCCTTCAAAAGGAGAATTCACAACGCAGAAATAGAAACACCAATGTTACGGGCAGAATCGCACCTCATCCTCCTGATCAATGAAATTCATTTTTTGTTTCGGAGTAGCAGCAATAACATTTCCCAGTGACACATTTTTGAAACCCTCATTTTGCCGTATATCGTCATCTGAAGGATGATATGTACTGAACAAAAAGGAAGCCGTCTTACTGCATTTTTCATAATGGGGACAAAGCAAAATTACGCACAATTGGGGATGTTGATTCCAGATGGAATGCCACTCGAGGCAAAAGCCAACACGTCCAGAGCAGTAAAATCCGGCTGAAAATAGAACTTACATGTTTCTGACCAATTGAGTAGGCTTTTAACGGCGCCATTCACGCTTTACGGCCCACTGTTCGAAATTAAAACCAGATTCCAATCATGGTTTTTCTTGAGGATAGATTTGGCCAGAATATTTTTATTGGGATAACTTTACCCATGACTGACACAAACATCACATCCCTAGTGCAGAAGGGCCCAGCGTCGGAGCAGAAACACTCCGGACCATGACATTTCATGAAAACGATTGAGCCTAAGAGCAGAACCACGACGAGTAAAGGCAACATCCGTTCAGCACGGAAACCAGAGCGCGTGCACCATAGAAACTGGCCAAAAGATTTCTTGTAGTGAGCGCTGTGTTTGGATGCCAGGCCTTTCCGCGCTGGACCTTGCACTACATACAGGCGCCATATGGATGTGATATTCGCATTCAGGGAGCCAGACTATTACTGATGTCAAACTGTGTCTGTCTAGCAGCAAGAAAAATCCTCCATTGAAATCAGGATGCTGGCCAGAGCTTTGAATAACGGGAATGAAAAAATTGAGTAGTACCCTTCGAACTTTACCTTGAGAAAATGATCCTTTTCGTATGCTTTTCCCCACGGTAACCTTGTTAGAATTTCTTCAGCTCTTCCCACGAGCGTCTTAAACTTCTTTGATGTTTCTTTGTTTACGCACGCCACGAATCCTGGAATTCATTTTGGAACAACAAGGTCACTTGGGAAAACAAGGGTTTGTCAATTCTTAGCTAATGACTGGATCCCAGTTACGACGCGAATGAATGAAATACTATTGTTACCTTCGAATTCACTTCGAGTTCCTGCTGGATCTCGATAGTTCTCGATGAAACCAATGTAACTCTCGATCACCGGATCTACGTCTTTAATCCAAAATCTAGAGCCGTCCTAAATCAGAACTGCGACATGTTTCACGGGTAGAAAAATGTGACTCTTCTTTTCATACAGTAAGTGCTGGAAGACCAGGTGAAGAAAACTTGGTTACCTTATGAGACTTAATATCGCCCTCTGTGAAATGTTCAACATATTTGGAGATCATTTTCTTTTGGTTCTCATTAGCAGCCGAATCTATTGCCTTAATTATGACCAATTCCTACATGTCTTAAATACCACAATTCTCAATAATGCTATCTGAACAATCAGAGCTAACCACAACACTCAGATCTAAACTGCAGGGTTACCTTTTTCAATGAAGCACATGCCCTAGCCATCAATGGAGAATAGTCACCGCGTTCTGTCACCACAATGGAGTCTTCGAACTCTTCCTCTGTCGCTCCATCTAAAGAAATGACGCAGAATAATGCGCAATTAATAAAGCGTGTAAGAAAGTAGCACTGGAGTTTTCGGCTGCGAGCGGGAATCTTTTCGTAAACTCATGTAAAAGAGCCAGACCAGTTTTCTGGGCTGTGAAATAATTGGTTTTCGCGCCATTTCTTCGTTTTCAATGTTGGACAATCTGGAGCTGAAAGGTGCGAAGAAGCGATGCCGCAGTTCGGCTTAGTGGGGGCGACAAATGGTACTCAATGAGGCTTGTATGTAAGCTCTTCTATCAAAAAGACTCACTTGCATCATTTGGCATCTTCACAAGAGTTCACAAGTCTCACTTAACTGAGACCTGTTGGTTGACGACCAACAAAAGTAACTACCGAAAATTCGGAATGCCTTTGCCTCTGCCTTCCCCCCCCCCCAGACAAGCAACTCCAAAACGATTCCGAACTAGGGAGATGAGAACTTCTGTGCAACCTAGGCCTAGGAGGGGAGGGGAGCTGAGCTTCAATGTGAGTGAATCAACTTGTGCAGAAAATAGTTCAAAGATGAAACTCGTAATACTTTGTAATTTTCCTCGCAACCGAACTGCGCCGTAGCAAGTTGAAAATAGCTGATGGTTAACGGCATTAAAAATTATAATGAGATACTGAGGCATTGAAACAATTAAGCAGCACCTGTTTTCGAACTGGCTAGTTTCACTCGATAAACAGTCTTGCCATCTTTTGTTTCGGGATCCTTGAACAGTCTGGAGTTCCAAGATTCGATATTCCGTGCCTATAACTTCGTGTCATTTTTTATCGAAAGCGCTTTATCTGCAGAGACTTCGATGATAAGGTTTTATCTGAATATCTAAGATTTATGACCTACCTTGAAGTACCTGTCTACCTTTGTAGCATCCTCTCTTGTTACATTTTCACTATGGTAGCAAGTCACACCCTGAATGTACCATCAGAATAAGACGAAATCAATGAACAATCAAAAATAAGAAGTGTAAAAGTTAAGCAGAAGCAAAATAGAAAATAAACTATCGTACTACTCCCTAAACAAGTAAACACAATTGCATAAATTTCGGCAGATAAACCACGAAGCTGAAATACCTCATTACCAAATCCCAAACGGAGTTGAGATTCTTCGAGGGAAGTGATTAGAGGCTTCACTTTTTCCCAGGTGCTAATAAATGACGGCGACGTCTCTTGAGCTAGTGATAGTTGTACAAGTGCATCAATTTTCGCCTGGATATGATCAGTTAGCCAACTGATTCAATTAATATGCACAAAATACAATGGAAAACAGTTGGTGCCTCACCACATCCACTGCTGGCACAATTTTGGTATCACCGAAGCCACGGTAATTTCCGTTGTTAAAGTAAAATCCAGCCACGTACACCAAGAAGCCATCCCATTCTTCTTCGGTGAAGCCGCATTGCAAAGCCTTTTCTTCAAGAAAGCCAACTTAGACAACCACAGGCAAGAGGAACACGAGGACGAAGGAATACCTTTGAGTTCCTCGATGCTCTCCGCTCTGAACATACGATAGAATGTCACGAAAAGTCCAGCAGATTCCGGCGAAACCTGCAGAAATTTCCCATAAAAACAGCTGCGATAAAAAAACCCGAATATTACCTGAAGGAACACAGCCAATCCTCCGTCATAAGATGCCTTGCTCAAATGGTGGGCGTATTCCTTTTCCTTTTTCGTCAAGGCTGAAATAATTCAAAGAAATTGACATCGAGCCTTCCACAGTCCACTCAGCGTCAAATGCAACTTTTCCAGTAAACTCAAAATGTAGCCGATAGGATGGAGCGTGACAGTTGGATGAAGCATGTACTCACTTGTATTTACTCAATGAACGAACGAAAGGATTCAATAGCAACACACTAAGTACCCTTATCCAATCGCATACGTCGAGTGAAAGTGCTAATTCCGGAGTTCAAACTCAAGTAAACCTTCTCGCCGCTCCTTCCCTAGATGAGCTTCGTGACTTTTCACACTTCAGGGCTGTCAAGCTGAACCATTCAAGTCACTCTCTGAATTCCGCGCATGTACGCCCCATTGCAGTGTTTCCATCCCAGCACTTGTAACAACGTGCAACTGACGACACACCCCCAACTGACGACCCACCCCGATTCGACCCAACAATTCCCCATTCCGATATCCCAAGCATCCAATATTCCGAGCATTTTCTAGCTTTACGAGGCAAATGCGATCACTGATGGTGAGAACTACACCACTTACCAAGCTTGAGCTTGATCTGATCCTGCAATCAATCCCCATTTCTTTCGAAATCAGCTGTTTTACAGACACTACCGGAAAATTCTGATAAAATGCCATACCCAGCGGTTCTATGTTTTCTGTAACCCTTTCGTCTTTGTTTTCCCGAGCAGTCCCTACGCCTCTTCCTTCCCCTCCACTCCCAAAAAGAGGTCGAAAGCAGTGTATTCGGAAAAGCATAACAAAGTTAGTGATCACTAAGGAGATAACCATCAGGTATTTTCTTTTTACTCTTTTCTTCTTTCTCTTGCAAGCAGCTCACCACTTTTATAGTTTACAGTTTAACACAAGTTTATGATTAACGGAATCCACGTTAACTCAGCTCTGTTCTATCTTTCTCGAAATCTCTTTTCCTTATTAGCCTGACTGCATCATTTCAGCTTTTATAAGAGGACTATTAGATCAGCTTCTGGTTTTTATAGCACGCTAGTAAGTGTATGTTAAATAAATGAATCAATAGAACGGTACCGTTGAAAGCATCGACACAGTCAAGTACGCATACTGGCGATTCATTGGGGAGTATGTGAAGAGATCTGTCGATTTCTGCTGCACACGACATCAAACGTGATGAGTACCAGTTGAAGGCGTCCTGGCTGAAAATTGATAGCCAACTAAGGGTGTTGAACAAACAGATGAGGGTAAGGCTGCCAACGTACTTTTCGTCGGCTTCCGAGCGCTCTTAGGTTTTGAGCGAAAAGAGAAAGTATATCATTTAGCGTTTTGAGCTGAACATTCAGAACGCTAGATCCATACCTATACTTTCTTTTTCGGCAAAAACGCTCGGAAGTTTCGAAACCCAACGAAATGTATGAACGCAACCAACACAATTTCTAGCAGCAATGGCAAGCACTACAATAATTGTGTTCGTCAGTCATCTCTCCCAAGAGACCGATCTCCTGCTAATGGGAACAGATAATCTTTCTTTGGGAGAACCCGCAAGCAAGTTCGTGAAATTCTAGGATGCGACTGTGCACGATAAACAACTGTGACCAGTACGAAATAACCAATAAGTATGAGGATTGATCAGGTACGTTGCTGGTTGAGAATCAAAGATGGAAAATGGTGGGCGATAGGAAGCAAAAGCGAATGGGACCATCCGATGCGAGATGAGGAGCTCTGTGTGCAGATGGTCTTGCACCCTTTCGGAAAAATGCGTGGTTAAGCACTCGCTGGACCTTGTCTTATCAGAACAGAATTCGAAGACCGCGTTCAGACTTCGAGATCGGACCACTCGATTGGTGGTCCGATCGCGAAGTCTGAACGCGGTCTTCGAATTCTGTACTGATAAGACGCGGTGAACCGGGAGCGCACCTTCAGGCGGGGCACCGCCGCAACGGCAGAATATAAATTGGGCTGCGTTCACAAAGTGCCTATTGATCGCGCGATACGATCACAAAGTCTGAACGCGATCAGATAGAAAGCGTATTCATACCTTCAAGGAGCCAAATCTTGAACCAAAGATAAGAAAAAGTTAAATAAAGTTTGGAGGTGGTTCGGAAGAACGCACAGAATTTGTGACCTACGATGGCCGTCAAAGCATGACGCACACATAATTCATTGTCCCGTAGCACAAATTCGTTACTTATCAGTTTTATTTATGGTGCATGAAATAGTATTTAAAGGTCCACGCGTGATTTTTAACATCTGCAGGCTCTGCAGGTGATGAGAAGCGGCTGAGGAAAAGTGGCTAGGGCGAACATCTCGCAACCAGGCAGCGTTCAGACTTCGCGACGGCAGCGCCTCGGTCGCGCGTTCGGCGCGATCGATGCGCATGCTTTCGACTGCATCGACGCCGAACGCGCGACCGAAGCGCTGCCGTCGCGAAGTCTGAACGCTGCCTCACGATAAGCCACTGTGTGTAGGACGGAATTTTTCGAAAAACTACAGTACTTAGATTCGTTGCAAGAGCAGCTGCCGTACTTTTGTGGCACATTGCGGGCATTCCAAAGTGACCTGAACTTACATGCGCTTCCTTATAGATTCAGAGAGAACGGACAGTAGACATTTGTCAATTAGACGATTATGATATGGATCAAGACGGTCTTCCTGCCTTTTTGTAGGGTTCAATATTACATATGTCTGACAAGTTGGCATATCGTTCCTACTTGCTAGAGAGGAGGAAACTTTTGGGATGGTTTAAGATCAACTTGAGCAAAAGTACATTGATATTTTATTAAGCAGGCCCAACAACGACCAAATACGACCCCCCCTCCAAAACGTCCGCAAAGCGAGAAAAATCAACTATAAAAATAAATTTTTCCCAGCCCAAATACGACCCCCCCCATAGGGAATCCCCATCGAACGCTGTGCCATGCTTTGGCAGCCGCTGCCTTCTATCCGTCTGCGTCACAGGATTTCGTCACAGGACCATGCACAAAAGTTCAAGATGTCACGTAACCGTACGCCAACGTACAGCAGCGCTCTGAGCGTCTAGGAAATTATGCATATCGATCTAGCGTACGCCAACGTTTTTACAGGCAATTTGAGCGTGAACAAAACTGCCCGTGCTGCTGTACGCTGACGCAAAGTATAAAGGCAGGCTGAGAGCAACGATGCCATCAAGCAGTGCAAGAAGAAATACTTCATAAACAAAAGAAAACAGCAGAAATACATGGGATGAGGGACACTGACTTATACATTGACTAGAGAGTCGGTATCAATAAATAAGTACTAGAACTCATAAAACCACGAACGGTATTTCTGAGAACGTTCATGCATCGCGTCAGCGTTTTGAGCGTATTCTCAAACACAGAAATTGACACCTATGCTTTCGTAGGCTCTTGAAACGCTCACGCCTAGTATGAACGATCTCAAGGACTAGTGAGAGCACAAGGCAACAAAGAAAAGAGGTTGCCGTAACTTATTATTCAGGAATAAGAACGACCGTCTTACGGAAAAGTCTTTCTAAAGTTGATTCGTAATCTGCATGCTTTACAGTTAATCCAGAACGAAGATTCATAGGGATGAGAGCTCCAATGCGATAATTTTATGCCAAAATCGCTATGGGGTAAAACATCACCAGCCTTATTTGAGCAAAACTCGTTTTTTTTTGAATGGCAGTACAAGTTGCGGACGAATTGTTCCAGCGGCGACTCTGAACGGTTTTTGATCGTGACTGAGGTCCAACCAAGCTTTGATAAGCCGTGTAACGCGGCATGATCTTTGCCCTTGGTAAAGTGGCCCTTTGCCCCTCACCCCACCTTTCGGATGATCTCTTGCTTAGCTCCATTACTTTGACCTCCCAAGTAATGAATCATCGTCGCTACGCAAGTTATCCATATTCAACAAGAATAACATTCAAAGGTTGATCTCGTGATGAACAAGCGAACAGATGGAAACCAAAAGTGTTCGTGTTCACTGACTTACCCGTAAAAATGGAAAGGAACTCCGGGAATGGAGTCAAAAACGCTCGAAGTTAAGCCGTAGTTGTGCTAAGCGATAGACAAGCAATCGTTATTGATATCGGGCGAGAGGCCAGAAAAAGCAGCGAAAGAGCATGCAGGCAAGCAAAACAACGGATAAGACATCAACCAATGTGGGCGGAGTCGCTGACTTTTTGGACGGAGTCACTTGAGCAACCTTGTGCTCTACCGCCGCTACCTTACCACTATCTGACGTAAGACTTATACAGAATTGTTCGCTGCAGTCTATAGAACTCTCCTATGAAAAGCTTAGATAAGTGTAAGTGGTCGTGGGCTGTGCCTTTAAGTCCGGAGAACGGATGGAGTCATAGCCCATTACCCTTAAAGTAGCTTACAAGAGTTAACAAAATGTCTCGGCACATTGACTAGGCTTAACAAAATATCCTCTCAGCGGACTATTGCCCAGAATTCTTGGCCCCGCATCACCAGATCCTATGACTTTTCATTCCTATGCTTCTTGAAAATAAGACACCATTAAAGAACTTTACAAGACCGTACGAAAAGCCCTGCTGTGATAGCAAGGCATAGTACGCGCACCTGAACTGTTGCCTCAGATTTTCAATATTATCAAATAAAACAGATTAAGAGTAACGGGAACACTGGAAGTGAATCTCGAAAGGCACTGGTGACTTCTCTTCGAGCTTCTTCTACGGAAAACACACACTAATATGGTCCCAAGTGCTTTTTTTTTCGAATGATCAACAAAATGGATCTTCATACGTGAAAGCGTACAGTAAAGCGTATAAAG